GCGACACCTCAGGGATGGCACAGTAGATGGTGGGGGAGGTGAGAGGGCCCTACCAGACTCCTTCTTCTTCACACTTGTTTTTTCTCTTTTTTAAAGCAGGAGTGTGTGTGAAATAATACCCGCTCATTAGGAGCGCTCTGGCTGCTGGTTAATTCATCCTGGACTGTCATGGGCTTGTGTACGACCCCCGGGTAACACATAAATCACACGCAGAACCAACCGGTGGAGCGGTAAGCTGCGTGCCCCTAACACAGCTGATTTATCAACCAAATTACTGCGAGTCCTGCTCGGCCCCAACACTTTGCAGAGGAAATCACTGAGTAACCCCTGAGCGAAGCGATTTATTGAAAAGCTGTCCCCCTCCACTTCCATCTCAGTGCCCTGCCCCGCTTTCTGTGTCACTCCACTCATCTCTCACCGACTTAATTAAAATCTATCCCGTTGGCTCGTTGGCATTTATTACAACCACTGGGCTAATGAAACAAAGAACAGCACCAAACCAAAGCTGCTTTGCGTCTGTAAACGCTCATCACACACACACACACACACACACACACACACACACACACACACACACACACACACACACGGTCCTGACTGTATTTATTGGCAGCTAAACATGGTGGTCTTACTGAGATCTGTGTGAGTTTGAGTCCAAATTCTGAAAAACCAAAAATAAATAAAATTAAAAATTACTTGAAATAAAACATTTTACATCATTACACTACAACTAATTTTGTTTAAATATTAATAAGATGATTAAATTGCATATCAAAGGATTAAAAGCAAATTGTGTTTTTGTTCCTCCTTTCTTGAGCTGTTCCTAAAAATAACCCAGTTTGGTTTCAGTCTCAGGGGCTGACAGGGATCTAAATGTCTAATGTCACATCTTTTTCTTTAACTTTAATTAGTTTTGATAGGATAACTTTAATCATTTAAAAACATTTTTGGTGTTATTTTACAATTTGAAATTCATTTAATATTTTAGGAAAAGTAAAATATTTTTTCTTGTTTTGTGGACCACTAAAGTTTTATCAGAAACAAATGTTTGACTTATAAATATCAATTTTGGTTAATTATTTTGTAACACTTTATTAACGTTACTTATTGCATTATTAAGCATTAATAAACAAAGAGCTAGGGGGGTTACGCAGTTGTTCAAACTTTATTTAACAGTTTTTTAATGCTTAATAATGCATTAGGTAACATTAATAACGGGACCCGTATTGTAAAATGTTACCAACTATTCTTCTAACAAATATTAGAAATTGTTGTTTGCTCAAATGTTGTTTTATTTTATTTTTTTATTGTTGTCATGTTGAAACTTGGACGAAAACATGATATTAACTGATTTGTAGTCAAAACCAAACTGACAGCTACTTCATTTCTCAGATGGGATCAATTATTTATAATGTTGGTAGTGGTTGGCAGGCTTCGTTGTTGTCAGTGAGTCCCAGGGCAGCTGTGGCTACGTCGTAGCTCATCCCCACCAGTGTGAATGTGTGTGTGAATGGGCAAATGACTGATTTTATTGTAAAGCACCTTGGGGGGGGGGGGGGGGGGGGGGGGATAGAACCAGGTGTTATACGAATACAGGCCCTGTTGATGCAGATCAAATACAGCTAAAAAACCAAACATCAGCTGTTACAAACATCTGTTGGGTGGGTTTTATTTATAATTCAAATGAATTGTTCTTATAGGTTTTTGGTTGGATCTTCAGTCCTTTACATGCAGGCTTATGTCTTTGGCTGGGTCATCTTCATGTCATGGTCCATGACACTGAAGTTGGAGTCGTAATCAAAACCTGAAGATATATGTTTGAACTGTTCTTACAATTTTAAACAGTTATTATTCAATTTATTCTGTGATTTGTTTTTATCCCAAAAAGTATTTTAACACCAAAATGTCGTTTGTATCACATGTAATGCAAACTTATAGCATAAGACTTAACAGGATAATACTTCCCTTAAAAATGTATTTTTATCCTCAGGTGGAAATATATAAATATTAGATTTTAAAATGTAATAGAAAAGGATAAGCTAGGTACATTAACATTAGAGTTTTGTAAGGCTGCAGCCTTTATTCCTGGCTGGTTATGATTCCTTATTCACCCTCATGCATTAACACAATCCAGAGTTGGGTTGGTCCAAACTTTACACAACTCTCCCATTTGGTTTTTACCCTGGCTTATTTTAGGTGACTGAAATTAAACCTGCAGTGATTGATTTTCCTCTAATAAATAAAGATAAGGAGCTCAAATGATTCTTGGCACTAGTTAAACATGCAGGATTTTTCCTTTGACCATTAATATAGGCCAATAATAAAAAATCATCATCATCATCATCATCATCATCATATTCCTTAAATCAGCTTTTTAATAATCGTGTTGGGTGAGTTTGGGCAACCACTGAACTTGCCCCTCTCTCCTTTGTTGGCTCCTCTTGAGAATTGGAAACGGGGGGGGGATGGAGGTGGAGAATGTGGAAGGTGCTAAATTAGCTGGCTGATCCGCGCTCATTGCCGCATACACATCCCCCAATTACTGCGCCCTGGCGCCGCTTAATATTCCGGGCATGGCGGGGCGTGTCTAGATAGCAGATTTATCAAATGGGAAAATGAATGTATGATGATCAGTTAAATTGAAAATCAGCGCCTGGGTGACAGGCCGCGCTGACACCTCGGTAATTAGAAAGAAAAATGATGGCGTCCAAATGCATAATAGAGCAAAAACAATTTGCGCTATCCCCCCACACCGTAATGATCGCGTGCTCAAATTGAAAATTTCTCCCGGTTGAAATTGAATTCATAAAGTGTGATGCATGAGCAGCATGGAAGCAGCAGGAGGCCCTGATCGGACTGAGCTCGGTTTGATCGATTGGTCGTTTGTGCCGGTGACACCAAAACACAGACAGATAGATAGATAGATAGATAGATAGATAGATAGATAGATAGATAGATAGATAGATAGATAGATAGATAGATAGATAGATAGATAGATAGATAGATAGATAGATAGATAGATAGATAGATAGATAGATAGATAGATAGATAGATAGATAGATAGATAGATTTACCTTCAAAGTGAACTTCGAGATTGATTCCTTTTAATTACTTAAGACTTAATTGATTGAGAAGTCTAACTGAGCCACACGTCCAATTAAACTGTGTTTTCCTTCCGCTTTGCGGCCTTTTAAAGTCGCAGCAGATCTACAGGGTCAGACTTTCCTCTCATAGAAGTCTCCTTCTGCCTTTAAGGTTTAATATTATTCAAGTCCCTTTTTGTATTAAAAAGTTCCCAGTTTTATCAACTCCTTTTTTTATTTATTATATCTCAAAAGCACACACACACAATAATAACCCTCGCTGAAAGGAGATCAAACCCATATTTTCTAATTAATCGCATTCTTGAAACTAACCGATTATAATAAACAGTTTCCCCTTTGGAGAGAGAAAAAAGGGAGGGGGCATAAAAGTAGGAATTTCACACAGCACGCGCGGAATGAACGATTTAATGTGATTGTTTCGGTCGAAGGGGACGTTTCCCGAGGCCTTATGGGGAAATAATGTCCTTATGAATTAAATAATAGGGTTATTACTTTCATTGATTTTAGCTGTCTGGGAATTTAGTGTTGAGCTTCGGTCTTAACCCATCCTCCTCCTTCTCTCCTCCTGCTGTTTTTCACTCCCTCTTCCTCCTCTCGTCTAATTATTTTTTCCTGTAAGACCCCCGCTTCCAACCGCGCAAATAGCAGAGTCACTGAGCGAAAATTATGTAAATATTATTAAAGGGACTCAGGCACGGAAATTCATTTTAGGTCGGTAAAGTAAAGCTCTGTCCCTCGCTCGGATCTCCCTCAATTTATTTGCAAATAAAGGCGAGGTGACCGGGAGGGATCGGGGATATTTAGCCGGGGCTGTCACCACCGCTCCTCGGTGAACACACTCACCAGAATTAATGGTTTTAATAATTGGGATTGCAGTTTCCAGGGAATCGGTGGCGTTTACACGTCACATATATATAAGCCACATTTCCCATTCAAAACAGAGACGCTCACATATATAATAAGCACATTTAGGTGAACAAACATATTTAATTCAGCCTTTTATGTGGAACTCGTGATAATTAAAGAAAATAATCTGATGTCCTCTCTTATATCTTTATCTGTCTCCCCCAGAGGGAATCGCAGTCCTATTAGAACAAATGACGAGGGGGGCCCGGGCGCTTTTGTAGAAAAAGGCGCACGCAGGCGGGCGCGCGCCTGTCCTATTACGTGCGACACATGATCAATAGGGCGATAACACAGCAACATCAATATAAGCGACAGAACAATGAGGGATATCATCGAACATCTATCTTAATATAGCCGACTACAAGGGCCGTCTGACAGCCGAGGCAGCTCATGAAAATTCCGCCCCACGAATCTTCCTCCACCATCTCCTCCTCCTCCTCCTCCACAATAGACTATATGCGCACTCACGCACACCAGCCGCGCGAATCAAACACACATTGAAGGTGCAGCTGGCGCTGCTATTATTTCCCCATTTCAATTTGACACCCCTGCCTTTCATGCTAATTCTATTATTGTAGGAAGTTTATGTGATTCCATATCACTAGAAATCGGTAATGTCTAATAACCCTTTGGGCTGAAAGGAAAAGGAGGGGAGGGAGGGGGGAGAAAAAACTGCCTCGAGACCCGCGGCAGCCAGTGGGAAAATAATTACTTTCATATCAAAACTCAGCAGGAGGCGCAGGGTCCTATAGCCCGCGGCCACTAACCTCATTCCAGCTCGGCCTTTCAAATGAATAAATTTGTTAAAGCAATAAATACAAACAGCCAGACGGACTTGAGCTCTGGATCTCACCAGAGAGAGGGAGAGAGAGAGAAAAAGGGAGGGAGAGAGAGAGGGGGGGGGGGGGGGGGGAATATCTGCTGTAACATGACAAAACTCCAGCTATGATCCAAGATCCTCCCCACATGACTCCCCTCCTCATTTTGAAAAACAGTTCAATTAAAACTTTTATTTATCAAAATGTTTACATATAAATAGCATTTTCTCATTTTTACAATATCTGAGGATTTTTGTTGCCATTTCTTTTTATTGAATCCTATTTTTGTTACAAGTTGTTCACAAAAAACAATAATAAGGAAAAGGAGAAAAAAACTGCTTCAAAAAGGGGATCACAGGTTTCAAGACCTTGGGGGGGGGGGGGGGGGGGGGGGCAAGCCACAGCTTAGAGGCCATGATTTAAAAAATAAATGAGGGTTAAGACTCCTGATTCCTGATATGTTTCAGAGTGTCTGAGCAGAGCTTTGGGAATGTTTGTGAGCGTTGTTCCTGGTCCTTTGTTTGTGTTTGCTCCTCCAAAGTGTTAGTCCATATCGACATCCTCTCCGTCTGTTCCGGGTGTTTCTCCACAGTCTGCGTTTGCCTGGAGACACTCAGAGAGGTCTGGAGATGCTCGCTCCTCTCTTGCATCCTTTTCTTCTGCAGCATGGAGGTCGTTTGTTGCTGCCTCTGTTGGAACTTTCAGAGGCCTGTCCTCGCCTGTGTCGCTGGCCTGTGTGCAGCTCGGGACCAAAGCTGCGGGAGCCGCGCTGCTTGGAGGAGGATGAGAAGAAGGGGGTGAAATGCTGTCTCCACCACCTTCCTCCATCTCATTTCCTTCCACTCTGCTGCTAAGGTGATTGTTGTGATGCTGCGTGTTAGGCTCCATGTGGTCTGAGTTCAAACAGGTAGTGATGCTGCCAAAGCTGGAGAGGTCAGAGGGAGCCGGGCTCCCTTCACTTGACATACACCTCTGTCCCAGGCTGAGTCTGTTGCTGCCGTCCTGACACGGCGAGGCCTTCAGGGCAGTTTGGGGCACTAGAAAGCCCAAAGGCTGGTGGGTGATAGGGTAAAGCAAGAAGTGACCCTTACCCACCAAAGTTCTCTGATTGGGCAGCGAGGAAAAGTCCAGCGGAGATTTCCGTCGTGGTATTGTATCTGAAAGGAGGCTCTCCACGCTGAAGGGGTTACGTTTCTGCAGGGCAGAGGACCTCAGACCTCCAGGACTGGAACTGTGCATGCTGCCTGGAGAAACCTGTTCTGGTTCTCCTGCAGTTCTTTGGTTTGGATGGGTCTGTAGCTGACTGAAGTCATGTCGTGTTTGGTCGCAGCTGGATTCAGTTTGGAGTCCTCCTGCAACCTTGGTCACAGGCAGGTCGATGTGAATGCTCGCGTTGAGGCTGGAAGGCTGCTGCTCGCTGTCGGTGAACTGCGAGACCCCGCTGTCGCTCTCTGAGCCTCCGGGGGTGTGGAAGCTTTCACCTGCGAGAAGTTTGTTCTGGGACTTCAGCAGCTTCCTTTCCTGTTTCCGTTTCTTTTTCTCGGCTCGCTCGCGTTCCCTTCGTGCGATTTCCTCTGGGTCCATGGGCTCCCCGCTGCACGTGGTCGGATGGGAGTTGTGAGCAGGCCGCCCTGGTCCCTTCTTTGTGTTCTCCTTTTTCCTCCATTTGGCTCGTCTGTTTTGGAACCACACCTGTGCACGCGCGCGCACACACACACACACACACACACACACACACACACACACACACACACAAAGATCGTGACTATGTGTTCAAACAGCAGCATGTGACGTTTCTGAACTTACTGGCCAATCAAAAACAGCTGGAGGACTGTTTTTGTCACTTAAATGATAATGAACATTATACACCTTATTGCTTTGGAAGAGGGTATAAACCAGTCTGTTCCTCGTTTTAGTGAGAATATTTTACACTTTACTGTAGTTTAACAAATAAAGCTTTATTGTACCAGGGACAACTAACAGTATTGGCAGCAACAAGAACAAGAAATAAAACAGCAGCAGAAATTAATAAAGTATAAAAGCTATTCAACAAAGCAAACCCAGCATAGTTTATGACTCCAGACTGATGAACTGAAACAGCATTTTAAGGGAGCATCTTTACATTTGAATACATCTAATAAATATTTGATTTCTGCAATATGTAATATCTTATATACATTTATAGTAGCAGTAAGATTAATTAGCTGATAAAAATCACTAAGTCGTCAGTTGAAGACTTCAGCAGACCTCACATCTGCTAAAACAAACCTTTCACAAGGAAAGAGAAGAAGAAAAAATAACAGATTGTGTACAAATCCACACAAATTCCTCAAAGTCACTCCTTTTATCTCCTCTGTGCATTGCTGCCTTAAACACCTTCAGATCTCACAGGTTAATAGGTCACATCCGGGGACCAGCGGGTGCACAGATGTGTCTGTCTTAATTACCAACGAGTCTGTGTAAATGGGCACATCCACCAATTAAACTGTGCTGTTCTACAGCTAAATCAGCCTCATCCCGTCTGAGCATATTCTTCCTCACCCAGCCGTCTGCGCCCTCCCTCCCTCCTCCTCCTCTTCACCGAGCCAAAGCAGGGAGCTTCCCTCGCCTCCCAGCTCCCACTGCCCGGCCTCTGGGTGCGCTACCAACCGCATGTTTGGCGCTGATAACACCAGGAGTTTAGCATGCACAAGCAGGATCCACGCACGTTGCATAATAAGGGCAGGAGACCGAAACCACATGTGCGACAACGACGCTTCTTATATTGTTCATGTTGGTTTCTATCTTTCTGCAGGAAACCTGGTGATAAAAGAGTGCTGAGCTGCTTGAGGAACAATAATCTGAGATTTAGAAATGAAATAATCCCCAGACTGCATAACACAGCAGCTAGCTCGATTTCACTTCCGCTTTTACTCCAATTGTGTTAGCACAGGCTATGTGACGTAATACTGAACTAAACCTAAACCTTGATTTTAGTATTAAAAACAATGAGCATTAAACTGTAGAATTTATAGTAACTATTAGTAATACTGATAATACTGATAATAATAATAATACTGATAATAATGATGATGATAATAATAATAATAATAATAATAATAAAGAAACACTTTTTAGCCCAAAATAATAACTGAATATGATACAAAACTAGCTATTTAATTTATTCTTCTTTTTCTTTTTATTTGGGAATTTTCTGATAAAATACACCAGATCTTTTAATAATTCACTATGGCATACATAATAAAAAATAAATAAATAATAATGATAATGATAATAATAATATAAAGAACAAAAGCTATTATTATTATTTAACCAGAAAAAATATTTAACCCACATGTACATTTAAAACGTAATTAGGAAAGTTGTTCAAGTTAGCATTTGAAATCAACTCTAAATATCAAATAATTGTAATTTTATTGGAACATTTAATCCTATTTATTTGCTTTTTTTAATAAACTCATAAATCAATAGGTTATCCACATGAAAAATTCAAATGAGGCTCTTTTTCTGGCTCTTGCAGTATTGACATGTAAGCGACAGGCCTTGTACAAAAATAAATGAATGCAATCTCCTGTTTTATACCAGCAACAGCTAAAATAAGGCTGTAAAAATCCTGATAAATAAAAGCTGTATTTTCTTGTCTTTACCTGAACCCTGGACTCCACGAGGTCCAGCCTGAGCGCAAGCGCCTCCCGCATGAACACATCCGGATAGTGACTCTCGTTAAAAGCCTTCTCGAGCTCCTCCAGCTGCCACCCTGTGAAATTCGTCCTGGTTCTCCTGCGTTTGCAACCCGGGCTGTCCTTATCCGGGTCTCCAGAATCTGCAGACGTGGATGTTTGTGTGCGTGTGTGCGCGTGTGTGTTGGTTGTGATTATCCGTGCGTGAATCGATGTGTGCGTGCGTGCGTGTGCGTGTTTATTGTTATGAGACAGAAAAAAGGAAAGCCGGTAAGAATTTCAGCTTGAGAGAAAATTGATCGAATTTGTTGCCATAATTAAACATTATGACACCAAATGACCTTAGATTTAAAATTCTTAAATCATTTACCACTCTTTTATCTAACATTTTGGGCCCATGGAGAATACACATTTTTATTGAGCAGTTAATTATAAAATACGCTAAACTGATCCAGTCTAATATTGTTTTATTCCTGAGCTAAATTGTTTTGTTTGCTTTAACGCGTTCTCTTAACGCTTTGGTGTTGCTTTAACAACTTAAGAAACTTTAAAGTTTACATGTCCTTTTGTTGATGCTGAGTTAGAATAGAAGCCACCACAAAGAGATGGACCCACCTGAGAGTTTGAACTGCGGGCTGTCGGATGAGAGCAGCGGGTTGGAGGTGACCACCGAGGCCGAGCAGGAGCCGTTCAGTAATCCGTCTATAGAGAAGGGCACGGCGGCCGCAGACTGCAGCTGGTGTCCGTTGGTGAGCTCGTAGACGTGCTGGTGGTGGTGATGGTGGTGATGGGGACCGAGCGGGTATGGGAAGCCCACCAGCCCGCCCAAGGAGCCGCCGAACTGGGCGTGAGGATGCTCGAGAACCCGGCTGTCCATGCTCGCCGAGGCTGCGGCGGGGCCAGAGTGAAGATGATCAGGGAGGCGGTGTGGCTGAACATGCAGTCAAAAAAGTCCAGGAGCGGAGGAAGAAGCGGCGAGAGGGGAGCAGGAGGAGGAGGTGAGAAAGGCAAGGGGGGCAGGAGGGAACCAGGCGGACGGGGCCGTGTCCTGGCCACCAAGCGGCTTGGAGCAGCGAAGACCGAGCGATTTCTCGTTTACGTTCTGGGCGAGATGATAACCTGCTCTTTCTGTGCGCGAGCCAGCTCATTAGGACTCCTCCGTCTGCGCGCGGGACCAATAAGAAACGTTAATCGTTGCGTGACGTCAGAGACGGGGTTAATGGAGTAACAGAAAGAAAATACATGACAGAAAGTGAGGAGAGAAGGATTTTTTTGTTTGGTTGATTTTTGTTTATTATATTTGCCCAATCACCAAATAACCTTTCCGGTTAGGTCTTTTTATTCAAACCTGACAAAAAATAAATAAATAAAATAAAATAAAAAAGCAGGAACGAGACTAATCTGACGCCTGGAAATTTTCCAAATAACTGAACTCTATTTAATTCTCAGGAATCGAACCTCATTGTTAAAACGACAAAACATTTCCTCTTACTTAAAATTCTTCTTCTTCTTCATCTTCATCATCTTCTTCTTCTTCTTCTTCTTCACTTCACATTTAAACACAGAGCCTCTCTGAACTTCATCCTTCAAATCCAGAACGTGTAACGGGGTGACTCGAGCTGGGCGAGAGTTTGGATGTGGCGTGGCTTTTAACCCAAGCGCGGAGTGACTGACGCCGGGTTGAATGGACACGCTGTTTAATCTGGGAGCCGGGTACGCAGCTGTATTGTGACACAGCTGAACACGGCGACTCCTGGTCTGAAGCTGATCTGTACGAACAGGCAGGATTCGGAGATCGGGCTGGTCTGATCTGAACAGGCTTCGTGATCTGAGCTGATCTGGTTAGGACTCTAGGTTAAGTTCGGTGAGAACGATGACTGAGTGAGCCGGCGTTGTGCGGCACTTCCTTATATAGGTTTGGCGGGTGACGTGAAACGGAAAACCTGGCGCTAGGGATGTTGGGTAATGGAGTCTGAGCGGCTCTGCGGTGCCTCCCTAGAGGAGGTTGACAGCTGAGCGGGAGGTTGTGTGACAGGACCCCCCACCCGAGGGACGGCCCCAGAAGTCCCAGAGCGGCGAGCCCAGAAGTCCGTTATGAGAGAGGGGTCCAAGATGACCCTCGACGGTTCCCATGAACGCTCCTCCGGTCCGTAATCCGCCCAGTCCACCAGGTATTGCCATCCCCTGCCACGGCGACGGGCATCCAGCAGGCGGCGCACAGCATAAACACCATCACCGCACACCCCACGAGGCGGTGAAGCGGGCACAGGGGGGGGAGCGAGAGGAGAGGTCCTGACCGGTCTCAGCTGGGAAACGTGGAAGACTGGGTGAACCTTGAGAGACCGGGGCAGGCGGATGCGGTAAGCCACGGGGTTAATGACCCTTTCCACGGGGTAAGGACCCAGAAACCGTGGGCTGAGTTTCTTGGAGCCGGCGGGCAAACGCATGTTACGAGTAGACACCCACACATTATCGCCCGGCTGAAAGGTCGGACCAGGCCGGTGGCGGCGCTTATGCTGGCGTGAGTACTCCGTGTTAGCTCGTGTGATGGCAGCCCGAGCACGGATCCAAGCGAGACGGCAACGTCGAACTAGGAGCTGGGCCGCAGGAACCTCCGTCTCCGGTTCCTGGTGAGGGAACAGAGGGGGCTGGTAACCATTACACAGCTCGAACGGGGAAAGACCAGTAGCCGAGGAGACGTGGAGGTTATGGGACATCTCCGCCCACAAGAGATGCTTTGGCCATGTGGTTGGTTGGGAAGAGGCAAAGCAGCGCAGGTACCGCCCGAGCTGCTGGTTGGCGCGTTCAGTCTGTCCATTGGTCTGGGGATGGTAGCCAGACGAGAGGCTGCTACTGGCACCAACCAGCCGACAGAAGGCTTTCCAGAACCTAGACATGAATTGGGGCCCTCTATCCGAGACAATGTCCTGAGGGAACCCATGGAGACGGACCACCTGCTCCAGAAGGACTTCGGCCGTCTGCTTAGCGGTGGGCAGGCCGGAAAGAGCCACCAGGTGGACCGCCTTGGAAAACCTGTCCACGATGGTCAGGACGGTGTCGAGCTGGTTGACGGGAGGCAACCCCGTGACGAAGTCCAGGCCTATGTGGGACCAGGGTCTGTGGGGAACAGGAAGAGGGTGGAGGTCACCAGCCGGGGGTTGGTTCGGAGTCTTGGAACGGGCGCAGGTGGAACATGCAGCCACGTATTCATGGACATCCTTAGCCATGGAGGGCCACCACAGGGCCCGACGTAGGAACTGGAGGGTGCGGGTCTCCCCCTGGTGGCCAGCCAAACGGGAAGCATGTCCCCATGCTAGGGCCTCAGACCGGCAGGTGGATGGCACATACAGTCGGTTGGAGGGTGTGTCAGCAGGTGCGGGCTCGGTGGGAAGAGCAGCTCGGATGGCGTCCTCCACTGGCCAGTGAAGGGCTGCAACGAACCTCTGGGCAGGTAAAATAGGCGGTGGTTCCTTGACGGGTGCAGATTGGGCGTGATGGCGGGAAAGGGCGTCCGCCTTCAGATTCTTAGAACCAGGGCGATAAGCCAGATGAAAGTGGTAGGATTCGAAAAACAGAGCCCACCGGGCTTGACGGGGGTTGAGTTGGCGAGCATTCTGGATATGAATTAGGTTTTGGTGGTCTGTCCATATGGTAAACGGGTCCTGGGCACCCAATAGCCACTGCCTCCACTCCTCCAGCGCCCATTTAATAGCCAGGAGCTCCCTGTCCCCCACCCCGTAATTCCTCTGGGTGGGTGTGAATTTCCTGGAGAAATAGGCACAGGGGTGGAGTTTGGAGTCTGAACCGCGTTGAGATAGGACCGCCCCTGCACCCACCTCGGACGCATCCACTTCCACGATGAATGGCTTTGTTGTGTCCGGATGAACGAGGAGGGGAGCGGTCGTGAATCGGTGCACCAGGGTGCGGAATGCCTGTGTGGCCTCAGGAGTGAAACGGAAAGGGTGAGTCTGGTTGGATGACTTGGTTAAGGCAGTGAGGGGCGCGGCGATGGAACTGAAACCGCGAATAAAGCGGCGGTAGAAGTTCGCGAATCCGAGGAAGCTCTGGAGCTGTTTTAGGGAAGTGGGTTGCGGCCATTGGGCGACAGCCTGGACCTTCTGGGGGTCCATTGAAAATCCTCTTGACGACACGACGAAACCCAGGAAGGAGATGGTCTCCTGATGGAAGGCACATTTCTCCAGTTTACAGTAGAGACCGTTCTCCAGCAGCCGGGAAAGAACGGATCGCACGTGTGTGATGTGTTCGTCCAGGGTTCGGGAGTAGATCAGGATGTCGTCAAGGTAAACGAACACCCACCGGCCCAGCATGTCCCTCAGGACGTCAGTGATTAGCCGTTGGAAAACCGCAGGACTGTTACACAAGCCAAAGGGCATGACCAGGTACTCCCAGTGGCCTGTCGGGGTGATGAAGGCGGTTTTCCACTCCTCGCCTTGTTTTATCCTGACCAAGTTGTAGGCGCTGCGCAGGTCCAACTTGGTGAATATGGCGGATTGGGACACTACATCCAGGGCGGTGGACATCAAGGGCAGAGGGTGACGGTCGCGGACCGTGATCTTATTCAGACCCCTATAGTCGATGCAGGGTCGAAGGCCCCCCTCCTTCTTTTTTACGAAGAAGAACCCCGCCGCTCCAGGCGAGGTGGAGGGTCGGATAAACCCCTGTTGGAGAGCCTCCGTTATGTACGCCTCCATGGCCTGGGTCTCAGCCGGGGATAAGGAGTACAGGCGACCCCGGGGTGGAACTGTGCCAGGCTGGAGCTTTATTTCCAGGTCATATGGTCGGTGAGGAGGCAGGGTGGTGGTAGGTGTCTTTGAGAAGACCCGGGCCAGGTCATGGTAGCAGGAGGGGATCTGAGAGACATCGACATCTGGGGTTTCAGGTTCAGAGTCAGGTTGAGAAGGTACATGGGAATGACAAGCCGCTCCCCAGGTGAGCACCCGCCCAGTTGACCAGGAGATCTGGGGGTTATGACGTAAGAACCAGGAGTGACCCAGGATCAGTGGAGATAAAGGGGCTGTGATAATCAGGAACCGGAGGGTCTCAGAATGGGGAGGTAAGTCCATACGGAGGTCCACCGTCTCCTGGTGGATGGGATAGGGCTGGAGAGGAGTACCATCCACGGAGGTAACGGGAATGGTTCGGTGGAGAGCGGACAGGGGAATGTGTAGGCGGGCCGCCAGATCCTTATCCATGAAACAGTCCGCTGCTCCAGAATCCAAAAGCGCCTCCAGCTCAACGGGCCCCTGGGCGAGATGAAGTGTCACTGGGAGCATGGTGCGGGTCGAGGGGGTTCCGGCCGACCCAAGTAGGACCCCTCTGCTGCTGCCTACTTGGAGACGGCGTTTCCCGGCCGGGAAGGACAAGAGAAGCGCCGATGACCCGGTGCGCCGCAATAGGCGCATAGCCCCTCCTTATAGCGCCTCTCCCTCTCCTCTGGGTTTAAGTGTCCCAGCTGCATGGGCTCATCAGTGAGTGGGCTGGCTGAGCGGGACCGATCGTTGGTTGCGGCTGCCGCGGGCTCAGCAGGTCGGCGCGTAAAAAGGCGCAAATCCATTTGGAGAGCGAGGTCGGCTGCCTCGTCCAGGGTTCCGGGGGTCTCCCGTCCGATCATCCCGTCTCTGATGCGGGAGGAGAGCCCTTCCAGGTAGATCGCCTTTAGCGCGTCGTCTCCCCATCTCAGCTTGGCCGCCTTGGTCCGGAACCGAGACGTGTACTGCGCTACCGTCTGGTTTCCTTGCCGGAGCTGGAGGAGTTGCGTCTCCGTTGACGTCTCACCACTGGGGGGAACGAAAACCCTCCTGAGTTCGTTCACGAACATATCATAGTCATTGCAGACTTCCGACTTCTTATTGTACATGGCGGCTGCCCACTCCTGAGCTCGGCCGGTGAGGAGGGAGACCAGCATCGCCACCCGGGAGCGGGGTGTGGCATATCGGTGTGGCTGACATTCGAACGTCATGGCTAACGTGGCTAACAGTCCTTCAGGTGAGCCATGCGTTCCATCCCATTTCTCCGGGAGGCTGAATATAGGTTGGTCTCGGTCTCTGGAGGTCTGCTGCTGCTGCGCAGCAGAGAGCTGGAGAA